GTGACCCCTTCCAGCAATGTATCAATATCGACGGTGGATACAAGTGTGAATGTGAACAAGGTTCTTACTGGTCTGGTAGCTCTTGCAAAGGTAAATACGAATTTCATCAGCACCTTATGAAATCTAGAACGAGGGCAAGGCCGTTTATCATGAGTCACCACGCTCATTCAAATGAACACATTGAACACATGTAAATTCATCCTGAAGCGCTTGAATGTGAGTAAGTCACAGATCTATTGTCAATTTCCCATCACTAAAACCACGAAGAGATTTCCTTGTTTCTGTCCTAAATATCCTTCTACATCTACTCATTCTCTAACACCACCAATTCCAATATTATTTTTACAGAAAATTCTACCGCAGCTCCTGGTTCTCAAACAACTGCAGGTCCTGGTTCTCAAACAACTGCAGGTCCTGGTTCTCAAACTACCGCAGGTCCTGGTTCTCAAACTACCGCAGGCCCTGGTTCTCAAACTACCGCTGGTCCTGGTATGTTTATTGCTTATATATATCTTAATTTTACATATTTCTAATGGCACGTGTTTTGATGTATTCTTTTTTTAAACTTTTAGATTAGAAATTTAATATGGAATTTTTGATTGTTGTTATTGATGATTTTTAAATTTGTTTTTCTCTGTCTTCTCGTTTGTGCGTTGTGAGTGTTCTGTTTTCGCTTGTTTTCTTTTAGTTGTTTTCTCACTATAGTGTATTTGTTGCATGTCTGTCTTGGAATTGCTTGTTTTCTTTTAGTTGTTTTCTCACTATAGTGCGTTTGTTGTATGTCCTTCTTGCAATAGCTTGTTTTCTTTTAGTTTTCTTCTCACTATAGTGTGTTTGTTGCATGCCTGTCTTGCAATTGCTTGTTTTCTTTTAGTCGTTTTCTCACTATTGTGTTTGTTTTTTGTATGTCCTTCTTACAATACCCATTTTTCTTTTAGCTGTTTTCTCACTATAGTGTGCTTGTTGCATGTCTGTCTTGCAATTGCTTGTTTTCCTTTTTTCCGAAATGGTTATCCATTTGTGTGGAAAAATTATTGACTTCTCGGATCATCTCTAAATGTATAACAAAATACTTAATATTTTATGAAAAAATGAAAAGCGTTCCATGCAAATCATTTCTGGTCTTTTTCAGAGGTCAAAGAGTGCATCAGCAGCTCATGTGATAACGGAGGGACGTGTATTGATCGAGTGGTTGGTTTTTATTGTCAATGTCATCAAGCTTTCTTTGGCAGCACATGTCAGCATAGTAAGTATCGATTATATCCTTAATAAGCATAGTAAGTACTACCTCAATTGTATTCTTAATAAGAAGAAATCTCGGAAAACATTTTGGTAGCAAGAGTGCCTCTCACTGCTGAGGTGAATCAGTGAACCCTGAGAAGAGTACCCTGGTCCCACACGACTTACCGCCTCATCTCTCCTGAGAAGAGAAGATAGAAAGAAGTTTCTCATGTTCCATAAAAACTCGCTAAAAAATATGTTCCAAACGGAATAAATAACAGACTTTTCACGTCCTCTTTTTTAGTCAATCCTTGCTTTTTCAATCCATGCGAAAACAACGCAAAATGTGAGCCAAATATCAACCGTCCAGAGGAGTACAATTGTGCCTGTCTGCCTGGTTACAGAGGAGATCGATGCGAACAAGGTATGTAAACATGACTAACAGAAGGATTTTCTTTTACCACGATACTAAACCTAATGAAACGGTTAAGGGATCTGTATAAAACTAATTCAAAAAAAGCTATTGGAGGCAAAGGAGATGGGGCAAACAAAGGGACAATTTGCAGATAGGCATTGCAAGATCTAAAAACCTCCAGGAAGCCAATGGTCTTTTTTGCCTCAGACGAATTGTCAAACGACGTTGAAAAATATGTTGCTGTGATGGCGAAGACGGGGACTGAGGGCTCACTCTTTAGGAGAGTGACATATTATTATAGTCTTAGTTAGAGTTCCGTTATGAAGAAAAACCAGAGCCCCTACTTTAAGAAAAATTCTTCTTAGCCTCTCGCGGGTTTTCTAGAAAAATTAGTTACCTTTACGTAAAAGCTGTCAGTGAGACACAGGTTACCAATTGTCATTTATTTCCGCAGACGCTTCCTTTATGAACAACATGTATCCATTTGGAACGGGTGCAGGGGATGTGTTGATGCCGGAGGACTTTATGTACAGCTATAGATGTCTGGAGCTTGGCATCCCTGGAGTAGGACTGGAATTCTTAGGAAAAAGACATGAAACATTTTGGGTTAGTTATATAGAACTGATCTGGGATTGCATTCTGGGGTTAGTTGGCATTGCAGTGCATTATTGGACTGTTTTAGGGGACGCAATTGACGCCATCTTGGAAACTCGTCCCCCTAAGAGTCCCACAAAACACTTCGATGCCAACTCCAAAGTGGTTGGGTCACAAGGAGCCACGCCTTAACCTCTTTATTCATCTATTTAATTCTGGTTTAGATTTGCAGGAATGGCATGATAGAGTTCAATAGAGACTACACGCGTTATTGGCCGCGCAAATTCGGTCTCCGCTACTGGGATCGTTTTCTGCCAACTATAGCACCGTACTGGTCTTTAGTTGAACACCAACTCTTTGACTCAACAACAGTGTTTCAATTCGAGGGGACTGTTATTGATGAAATAATGAACAACGGAAACAGACGTTTGGCTCATTCAGGGTAAGTACTTCAAACATACGGGAAGCTTGGGTAGCGCGAGTGAATGAGTTCCCTCGCTCCCTTCCTTCTTACCATTGCGACCTGGCATCAATAGCGAAATTGGAAGTCGTATGTGAGTTGAGCTGCTTGTTCTTAGTTTCATCCGGGACAAAAAACAACTTCTACATTTTAATAGACCCCTTCCTTGAGACACCAAAAGATTTACTAGAGATCCAGGTCAGTTCTAGTCACTAGACGGGCGACGCTCATGCAAATTTATTGTACTTTGATATTCAGAAAGAGATACAGCATGCGTATTGATCCTAAGAGACAGTCCAAGGTATATTACCAACTGTACAGCAGATGGAATTACACCAACGCTGCTGCAGCTATGTTGAACAAGTCTTCTGATGACGTCAGAAAGTACACCAAAAACAGCTTGTACAACGATTTTAGAGCTAGCTTTGTCGCTGTGGTAACGTGGGTCAATGTTTATCCTGAACGCTTACGAAACTTTCCGTACTTCGGATTGGTAAGTTCTTACTTCTGAATTTCGTTTATTTAAAGTATCCCTTTGGTATCACATTGGCATAGGACAATTCAGATCTCCTTTACATTTTTTATCGAGACTTTGAAACAGCCTCTGGGCTGATCGAAATCACAGCTAACTCAAAGATCAAATTAGAATCCGAAACACCATTCTATCGAGTGTTGAGATGATATCTTACGAGTGAGCACAGTAGGTAAGATATTCTCAACACGATAAGATAAAATTCGTATCTCCAAGCGCCCATGTAATATTAATTATCGATGAAGTACAATTTGAATGAATTTTTACCATTTAATGCGATTCATAAAAATTCTTACCAATTATGTTATCTTCACATTATCACACATGTAAAGTTAATTTTTTTAGGAATAGAAGGGGGGGAAAAATAATTCATCGATGATTATATATTGTTAAAAACATTTAGTATCATTTATTTTATTTATTTATATATCGTCCCTTTATTATTATTAGAGCAATACTTTCCAAACGGTCATCATTACGGATGGAGTCTATACATTCACCATATTTAATTATCCCAGTGGAGGAATACAGTGGGCCGCACCAGTAGATAGGTAAGTTGGGTACTCATCATGGTTAATAGGTCATTATAGCGTCATTTACTACCACTACCGACTCCCTTGCGCACTTTCTTTTGTTCAGTTTATTAGCACCTATTATCTTACTATTCTCATGAGGAAATACAAATTTGAATAAGAAAAAAGGAGTCGAGGAAAAAACTGGTTCAAAATGGCAATACAGTGCATTGTGGGACTGTGTTAGGGGACGAAATCAGACGCCATCTTGGAAATATGTCCCCAAAACAGTCTCACAATGAACTGTAATACTAACTAGACCCAGTTTTTTCCTCAACCCCGGAACAGTTAATGGGTCTGTAAATCGATTATATCTGCAAGACTGAAGTTATTTACATTCGTTTGAACTAAGTAAATTCTAATGTAATTCGTACTAAATAACACTCGGTGAAACAATACTTAGACAATGCAATATTTTGTACTATTCAGTGCAAACACACTTAGGCTCAGTTAAAACACAAATCCCACGTGACGAATCTAATGCAAATTAATTTCAACGATAGGTTTTGCTCATTCGCATTATTTTTGGCACATGTGAAATTCGACGTTCAAAAACTGGGCCTCAAATAATTGTTCTTGCTCTATTTTTTATTTCCTCTCACATTTCATATTCATTCTTTCTGTTTAAATTACTTTGCAGCTCTCAGTCTTCTAGGGTTAACTATTGGTATCGTAATTATCGTTTGCCTGTGGCGGGATGGAACTCTGGCACCGATGACAAACACCGCTACTTCAACATCAAGCAGTAAGTGCAATAGACCCCTTTCGAATTCCAAATTACCGCTGTGTTTCTTGATCACAGACTCATTTGCACAGGGTTAGCCTCGAGTTTGTGCAGAATATTCACGTGTTCCAGTCTAGGTCCGTCGAGTTTCAAAATGTTTGTATTGTTGAAGTTGTGCATTCTTTACTTTTCTGTTGGTATTTGTGAATATTTAAACACTGATACGAGGCTAACCCTGTGCAAATGAGCCTGTCATCAAGGAACGCAGCGGTAATTTGGAATTCGATACTGGTCTATTGTCATTTTGATCTCTGTCAAGAAGCGAATGGTTCGGTACCAATACTATACTCGATATCAATAATTTGGCGGCGTCCACGTTTCTTCGAAGACAACAAAAGGAGCGCGGGGCTGCCTGGGAACGAGAATGCGGATAACTTCAAAAAATTCGACTGCCCATGCGTGCGAATTGTCTATCGATTAGTATAGGCCTTTTTTTAATAAATCTCACAATGCATTATATTCCGCGCTTAACGTCTCATTTAATCTTCAAACTTCGTTTTTTAAAAATTCAAAATTATAAATTTGATGTCAAACATGAAACTACTCTATTGCAATTCTTCGTTTGCACGTTACGTCGAATATTGTTTCCCGAGATTACCTGGCTCTTCGGAATGGCTGTATGCGCCATGTTTGGGGTATATTAATACCCCCAGCATGGCCACCATGACTTTGCCTTTTGTCTCTCCTCAATGCATTGAATGACTGCAAATTATCAATTGCACAGTTCGCATCTAACCAAATATATACTAGGGGCTAAATAACCTAATATTCTATTAAGGTCTTCAACATTGGTCATGGCGCAGCTGAGTCGGTTGCCAGGAAACACCCAAGAAACCGGCCGATGGTTCTTCCAATTAGACAAGTCTAACATGGTGCGGAAAGCAGAGAGAAAGTGCTACACCTGGTATCTACAGCAACCTACATCACCCGTTTCATTTCTGCCACCATGTCCATGTTGGAGGCGCCAAGCATTCTTCGACAGAAGATTCAGGTACGACAGAACACTCCATCGTGAATTCTCTGTATCATCTCGTGGGGTGTGCTACATATCGAGATGGAGATTCCAAAGAATGCCTTACAATATTATTGACGAGAACACCAACTTGAGAAGACCTGTTGACAGAAGATTGTCGGCACAGCGTTGCTGCTATGGCACTGACGTTCTGGACTTCGGTTCCCTATTAGAAGGCCCAGAGAGAGGTGGTCATGAACGGCAGCAATTTTCCCCTCCTATTCAAGGTTTTCTGAGCGATGAAGAAGCTTACAGCGCCTGTTGCGTGGAATCCGAACTCTGTCGTCTTTTCTACGAAAAAAGACCTTCTGACGATTGCAGATCCTACCGTCCACCAAGAAGGAGTATGTTGAATTCTTGTATAAATTTCTTAGGTCTTATTCCTTTAAACAAATAGACATCAGTTTTTTATGTGTCTGTCCTCTTATTGACGATAAATTGCGTCATCACATTGTCAAAGTAGTGTGGATCCACGAGGCGGTTTTGTTAAATAACATTCATTCAGCTGATTGAAACAAAGCAATAGAAACCTCTCTGGTTGATAGCACATGACGGGCTGTGTTTACCAATGAGATTCATTCAGCTGATTGATACTAAGCAATATAATACTCTCTGGTTGATAGCAACATGACTTCTAGACAATGTCTGCTTTTCATTGTGAGCTGTCACTGTAACGAAATTCATAACTCAAAATTTATTGTTATTTTTCTTTCAGGATGGTTCTGGGGTGATCCTCACATTGTCACAATGGACAACAAGAACTACACTTTCAACGGTCTCGGCGAATACATCATGGCTGATGTTCAGAACGGGTTTTTCCAGCTGCAAGCCAGAACTGCAAAAGCATTAGGAGACATAGCAACGGTCTTTTCTGCAGCGGTTGCTCAGGAGCAGAGTACAAGTAAAATTGAAGCTCGATTGAAGAGTTCAGGAGGTAAAAGTAATAATAATAATAATAATAATCATTTAATCATTTCTATAGCGCAAAGACTATGGTTGTATCAAATGCATGGGCCAACAATATTTGGCCGATTGCCGAAGGCCTTTTCCACGAAGAGATCCGAGTGCATCCTACGGACTCTGTATAATTTATCATTTATTTTTGCAAAACCTGGTCGCTTTGACACTAGAGAAAAGCGTTTGCGCATGCGTTCATTTCAGCACGTTTTCTAAGAATGTTGAAGAGTTTGAGTGAGAAAATAAATGTTTGTTTTCTCAAAGTATACAAAACATTTCGCGAATATACATTTGTCAGACTACGATACTGTATTAACAAACATAATATGAAAGAACTAGCTTTGAGTTTCAAGCATGAACGCTAAGTCATTTTATAAAGTTCAATTTATCAGGCATGTTTGAAAATCAAATTTACATATGATTTGAATAATTTCCATACGGATTCAGAACATGCGCAGATCTTTTTCACTCGTGTCGGTCGCTTTAGCATTAGAGGCACACTCCAACACAAATTATATCATCATTGTCATCATCATCCTCATCATCCTTTCATAGTAATGAGAAATTTGCCTTAATTCTGTACTTTATCTTTCTTGTAGATGGTCTAGACTTTTTTATCGATGGGTCAGCCTTTGATTACAGCAGCATTACAAATGGCTCAATAGATATCGGGAATTTGTCCATCTCTCGCGACGAGAACGATGGAGTAACAGCCACCTTCCCATCAGGCATCTCTGTCTCGTTCAGCCAAGTTAAAGGGATGAT